ATCGACAAACGATTAACGATTAAGCGACAGACAATCGATAGATCATTCCGACAAATTGATTTAGGATTTTCTCCGGAACTAATAGGCCAAAACGAGTCGTTTTTTTAATTAATTTTATTTTCGATTTTTAGAGTAGGGGCGGATGAGAGTGATGGAGTGGGATTGGAAACCATCCCGTGGGGTGGATCGGTAAATTTCCGATTCCAAACACTGGTCATGCGAGTCCAATTTGACTCTAGGATTTCCGGACTCGGTGAATGATGTTTTTGGGGGAGAATTAGTAACCGAAATAAATAAACAGATTACATGGATAAAAAGTCTGTGTTTTTTCAATTTGTGGGTGAGCCTTTGTTGCTAGACAATGGGGGTGACTTGAGACCCCATGGAGGGGCCATTGAGACGATTAATTTCAAGGGTTCAAGAGGTTTTACGAGCCGTCGAGATATCATTGATTTGACGAAAAGATAGTTCCACAAATCTTCGTTAATAATGCAAATATATACAAAAATAAACATTGTAGCATGTCAAGGTCACTCGTGTAATATTCATGATGGGCTATGGCATAATAATTCAGGTGATTAATCAGAATTGATGGGCCACTGCGAATGGGATCATTTGGGGGAATAAAAAAATTGGAGGGTGAGAGGCATTTGTGGGGGGGACTGTTTTTGCCATGACATTGGGCTTGGCAATTACATTTTTAGGGGGATTGATCGGGCCATTTGGGGTGAACGCAGCGGAATATAATCGATGAAAGTAATTTTGATTGGGGGTTGTTGAAGTTGCCTTTGAAAAGAGTGACTTGAAAATAATTATAATTAATAGTTGTGTTGCATCCAACTGAACTTTATGAATACCAGTCGAGTGGAATTTGTCGTTTTGTTAATTTAATCCATCATTACCGAGATAATCACTCCCCTAAAGATTTGTTTTTACGGAGACTGTCCCTTCCGGGGGTGACTCAGCTGACTCAGTCAGTGGATTAGCATGCACAGACACGCGGGGTGTGAAAATCCACAGTGAGATTCAATAACGATAATCGAAGCCTCCGATGGTTCTGAGCGGATACAAAAGCCAAAACAATCGCCATCTGAAATTGGTGTTGGAATCCATCCCGACTTCAATAAAACGCATGACCCATTTTGTCCCGTCATAAAAAAAATCAATTTTTCAATTTAACTCGTTGAATCAACATAATTTGTCAGTTCAACAATATAAATATTTATTCATTCATGTATAGCTTCAATCCAGTTTCAATCGCAGTCGCAGCCCGCCGGGATTTACTCGCAAATATCATGAAGTTTGTTATTTTATTTAATAACACGGGGTCGAGTTACAAAATAGGATGCATGCTGATAATAGGGAAAAACCAACAGTGAAAAACCCTATATTTTGATGTTGTTTATTAATGAATTTGAATGATTATTAATATTCACTTCGAAATTGTTTGCAATGCGATTTATGAAGTTGTCGATTATCATTTCTGTGTTGGATCTGTTGAGTTTAGCTTATGTCAACGGGGATTTGTTTTTAAGTAGGTGGTAGAGCTTAACCATGATGGCTTTTGCTTTTTCATTCGCGATGTGGATGTGTGCGCTCCACAAGAGCTTTTTGTCGAAGGTAATTGCGAGGTAATTTCGACGTGTTTCAGACATTTATATAATTATTATTCGGAGGCGGAGAACATGATTAATTCGATCACAATAAAAAAAAAATTAAATTCCGGGTTCCAAAAATTTTCTATTGTTTATCGTGAAATTATCATTTTCCGGTGGAAAAACCGCAGATAAAATGCTCAGAAAATGGCGACATTGTGTCTACCAACTGTAATGTCCGTCTATACACACCAACTTCCGCCCTGATGTCTGGCCAAGTGGTACATTTTCTACTTTATATCATAGTGGAAGTTCCTCGACTTTCTCTCTTTCCCTCTCTCTCTCGTAAAAACTATAGCTTCGTACTAACCCCACAGATGCTACACGTTTCGTCCATTCCTCAAGCGGCGAAGGGGTGAAAAAATAAAAGGGCATTTCCTCGTGTTTGATACAGTCTGACCCCATTTTCATGCCCGGGGGAATTTTATTTCTGGAAAAAACCCGACCGACTGCGTTTTTTAGTCTAATAAAGGTGTAAAAATTTATTTTTTATGGGGGTTGGAAAGAACCCCACGGGACAGTTGGTTACCACGCAACTTCTGGAGGTGCATGGAAAAGAATTTCCGGGGGTGGAAAATTGTTTTGCCGATAATTCGGAAAATTGTGGAAAATTTGCTTTTTGATAACGCGAAAAATTCCCGGAATTATGATTTTCTCATTTTTTGTAAATCTGTTGGTGAATAACTCTGGGGTCATCCCGATTTTCGGAAAATTGTGGGAAATTGTTTTTCCGCAAAAACTCAGAAAACTCCCGGAAGACAAAATTCTCCTTTGAAATCCAATAGTACATTCCCCTGGCTACCACCACCACTGGGTCATTTTGGACCCCACGGGGCTAATGGTCCGCGCGACTAATCCCCGGAAAAATAGGAAAATCCTCATTTGCTCATGAGGAAGCAGAAAAATTATTCAGTAGTGCACGCATGAGCAAAGGTCGATCGTCACCCCCTGGTGTAGGGAGAAATGGAAAGGTTGTAGACCCGAGGCTATTTAATAATTAAAGCCTTGTACCCATCGATTGTGTCTGGTATATAACTCTATAAATTCACATGTCCCCCGTGGAAAAAGACAATTTCCCCCGCAAATTCATACGGAGAAAATAGGGAAATTCGTGAAATGTTTAATCAGCAATCATTTTCCGTGGAATGCATCGAAAGTTTTATATATCCTAGGAAAATTCCAAATATCCATTCATTATTATTAATAGTTTCCAAATATTTCTGTGGACAAATGATTTTGTTTAAAAAAGTTTCTTTGATGAATGTTTTATGGTCATTATCTTATTGATGACAGGAATCATTTGTTGAGAATCACGAGGGCCAGGAAGGGCCTCGTGACCCACATGTCGAGAATATCTCCGTCGAGGAAATTGTTGGAAATTATTCTAATGCGATTTCGGCGCGAAGGGGGTGGTTTCACCGAAAAGCCAGTTAAATTTCCGGTGGGAGATTCTATTACATCTGAGGAAAACTGGAAAATTAATTTTCCGGGTGAAATAGTTTTTCGGGAATCACTCGAAATCACTGGGGCAAAACAGTCAATTTTTAAAATTTTACTATAATTTCTATTATATTAATTATCAATTGATATTTTCAATTATTCAAATATTATTACTCAATATCCCTGTAATATTCCCTCACGATCCCTGTAATAATTCAAAAACTGTTGGGTAATATTAACCAGTTAACTAATGCAAAATTTAACTTAACTTGGTGCCTGATTGAGGGGAAAATGGGGCTTTTTTTTTCACTGGAGAAATTGCGTGATTTATTGAACTCACCCTCGACGCCTTATAAACCGAATCCCCTCGGGTCCGCCGTTGGAGGCATTCGCACCGGGACCATTTCACTTTTTATTGAAACATTAGGAAATCTCGATTTCAGGGTCAATTATTTTTCCTCATTTTTCACACTCGCGATTTTTTCACTTTTCCCTTAATTTTTTATCTTATTATTTTTCTCAATTTTTCGTTCTCCTCTGTTTAATTGGGAATTTTTATTTCATACGTTTATTTCTTGTCATTTTCGTCATTGAATTCTCACTATTTTTCATTTGATTGATTTCATTGGATTCCATTAAAGACGAAAAAATAATTTGTTGAATAATTTCACTTTTTTCATCTCGATTTATTACTTTTCTCGTTCATTCTGTGCATTTAATCCCCATTAATTCCAGAAGAATACATTCTCCGCAATTGAATTCTCACGGTGATTATCTAGAATTTTCTTAATCCTCCCTTAAACTTGTGGCGTGTCACGAACGAACGTTCGCGGTGGTTTGACCGGGGTATGGAGGATTGCCGGTGGTAGAACACCCTCTATGTGCACCACGTGCTCAACCGAGCCGCCAACTCCGCAATTTCACCCTCACCTGCGGCTGGAAATCCCCTCCTATCCTTTGCGCTACACATCCCTTCTGAAGAATTCTCCAAGCATTCCTTGAGAATGTGAGCGAAGCCTCCAGACGTCCAGGAAAAGATGAATTATCAGCTGAAACTATTGTTTACAATTTTTTTTTGTAGGAAGAACTGAACGTGGAGAGATTAAAGTGACGTCACAAGTCCTTTTGCCTCAACTTGAAATTATCTTGGGAATGAGGGGGTTTAGGAGAAAATTTTGTAGAACATTTTTTATTGGAAATTTTCCACTCTACAAAAAAGGTCTTATGATAATTTCATCTAAAATGGGCCACTAACGAGATAGGTAATCGTAATGTGTTTTTCAGTTTTTGAATTAGTTGATTATTGCGTTAATTAATTATTTTATAAAATATATAACATTTTTTTGTTGAAAATTTTATAATTTATAGCAAAATTTTAAAAACCTAAAACTCCCCCCCCCCTCCCCCTTCAAAATAACTAGAACTAAAGTAGAAAAATTCATTCGTTGAAATTTCACGACGAAAACTTTTCAATTCCACAATTTTCGGCCATGCGCGAGCGGTTGAATGAAGGGTGTCGGGATGAGAGGGGTTCGAGGGGGTGAAGAGATGGTGGAGGGGGAAATGACGCGGGAGGAAAGAGCTTTTGTCTGCAAGATTTTTTTTTCTTTTCTTTTCGGGATGACTTCAACCACTTGTTTGATTAGAGTGTTGAAGTTAAGAAAAGGAGCAGGGGAGGGATAATCGTGTGGTATGAGGGCGATTGGAAAATGGGATGGGGATGGTTTTATATTTTCTTAGGGAACCGCTGGTATTTATTTTGAAGGAGAAAAAAAATTTTCACGCGCACAAATTTTGTGAAAATATTTTCAGTGAATTAATTTATTGATTTTCTAGTCGTTCATTTCCATTTTTTTTTGTATTTCTTCCTGTTCCACTTTTTGAGGATGAATTATTTATTTTCAGAATAACGATAAAATGGAGCAGAATTTGATTCTAACTCGTGATACTGGGAGATTGACATTGGATCAGCGTAGATTCTACGAGACGAGTGGTTACTTGGTGATCCCTAAACTAGTGCCTCAGGAGGCGCTCGATAAATTCAGTCAGAGGTGAACAGCTTGAGTGATTGATTGAGATTTTTTGCTGCATTTTTTAAATGCCTCTTCATTACTTGAGCACTCTGCGCGCATAAATTGAGATTTTTATGAATCATCCGCCCTTGGAGAAGTCCACAAGTCCATTTTGACGTTTTTCTCTTTTTTTTCGGCTGTTATAGTCCATAGAGCAAAACGGGGGTCAAAAAAATTGACTTCAGAGTAAAAGCCTCTTTGCAATGCCAACCATCTGTTTCAAGATTTTTCCTTCAGATCATGATAAACAATGATTTTAAAAATACAATTCACAGGTTCGATGATATTGTTGCGGGGAAAGTTGAACATGGCATGATGACAGTGATGAAAGACGTGGTAGATCGATCATCGGTCAATAAGATCCAGGATATCAACCACGACGAGGTTTTTCGCTCTTATATCGAGGATAATAAACTCCTGAACATCGTCGAGTGCTTCACCGGGGCAAATATCATGGCGATCCATTCCATGCTGATCGCCAAGCCTCCGGATGTTGGGGCCGGGAGCACCAGGTCAATCCTTTAAACAATCGCTCAAATCTATTATTTCCTTTTGTTTAAATAAATTTTCATTTTTAATTACGAAAATTAAAAAAAAAATTCTTCATCCCGTCAAGTTTGTATTATTGCTCTTATCAATCGATAATAGACACCCACCGCATCAGGATCTGTACTACTTCCCCATTCGTCCAGAGAATAGAATTGTAGCAACGTGGACAGCCATCGAGCCCTGCGATACGAAAAACGGTTGTTTATTCGTTGCCCCTGGGAGTCATCTCCAGAGAAAACTCTATCCGCACGGCTATCCCCTGGATCAAATTGCCAATAAAATGTATTTTGGTATTCAGGTACTCATTAATTATTTCCAAAAATATTAACAAATTAATTCATATCGATGCTTCAATAGAGAGCCAGGCAAATTTCCGCTTCCAAATTCTGGTCATCAACCCATTTCGCCCCATAAAACGATTTTACCGTAAAAATCCACTTTTTTAAATTTCTTGTTCTCATTCCTCAAATATCCGAAGATATTCTCTATGAAAAATGAACTATGACTAGGATTTTGAATTGGAAATTTTCCCAGAGTTCCAACGAATTTTTTAAAAAGACACCTACCCCCTCGACACCCTCCCCTTCTCGAGATATCCCTCAAAATATAAAAGACAATTTTTATGACGAGACTTTCGAATTTGATTTTTCGCCTTTCATCGCAGAAAAAAAAATGTTGTTGAAATGAATGGAGGTTTGAAATTCACGGGAAAGAGAGGAAAATGTTCTCATAATATTGAAGTATGACAGACATGATGTTTGAACAGGATCTATCGGAATCCATTGGCTGGATAGACCTTGAAATGGAGGCTGGTGACACAGTTTTCTTCCATCCACTCCTGATTCACGGATCCGGTGTGAACAAATCGAATCGCACGAGAAAAGCAATTTCCTGTCACTACGCAGCTGCGGAATGCAACTACATCGAGGTATTAGTCTTTAATTTAATTGTCAAGAAATTACATTCCATTATCCGAGAATAAATGAAAATTTCACGTGGAAATCCAGAGAGCCAGAAATCAGTTATCAAATTTTCACTGCAGACCCAATTGATTTTTATGAATATCTGGAGAACTTGGAGAGATCAAGCCTCAGGATCAGTTTCATTGTAAAGCCGGAGAAATTGTTCCAGCTCTCAAATGATGTTGGACTTTGGTCTCCATCTGGTCAAGTTGTCGCGATATCAAAGTTGGAGGAAATGAACAAGATATTTGTTGGTAATGTTACAGGTCACTGGAACTGTTCAAGAAAAAATAGAGAAAGAAGTTCTTGAGATCACAGCTAGACGTTACCCAGGGCTCCAACTTAGCTATCAGGATTACTGGCGGTTCAAGTCCACTATCGCACGGGGGTTGAAATGTAATCTTTAAAATTGAGCTCAACTCTGAGAGGCGAGGATGAATCGATAAAAATCAATTTGACAATCTATAAAACATCGATGATATAAATTAGTCAAAATAAGTAAATTGATAAATAATTCGATATAAAAACCTATCCTATTTGATATGAAAAATCAGTGGAGAAAAAAAACATTAAATAAAACGATTTAACTAAAACACCAATAATCATACAACTCAATGCATTTTTCATGATCAATGGACAAGGATTTAGGATGTGGATGATGAAGGATAAATAACCGCACAGTAGAAGATGTAACAGCGACATTGTCGCCATTATTATTATTATTAATATTATTATTAACATCACGCGGTGAACGATGATTCATGGAATTGACGTAACAGTGCTTTGAATTTGGATCTTTGTACGTATTCTCGTGTCTGACACTTGCACTTGAGGTGCGGCATATTGCCAGGCATATTTGAAATCTGTCGAGACTACGAAATCTTATTTTCACAGCGTCCTCGGATCTGCGGGACTTCTGGGCCTCACGGCGCACTGGAGATGCGTGGGCCTCCTTCTTTGGTCTCCTCTGGAAGTCAAGGCCAATTGTCATCAATTAATAAATATTAATTCAATGATTAATTAATTCATTATGGGGGGAAGGGGGAGGGGGAGATTTATTATTCATTATTATTCAGGAAAAAACAATCTTTTGCCAGCAAAAATTAAAGATTTCTCTAGAAACTGAGGAAAAATTCGAGGGGATAAATTCAAAGGATTACAGAATCTTGAGGGGAAGGAGGGTACCTTTCCAGGGTGAAGACAGCACGAGACGCAGTACTCGTAGACAGCACAACAGCCCTCAGGATTACAGGTCTCACAGCTGTACCTCTCGCGTTTGACGATTGTTGTTACACCTGTGGTTTCAGTCTTTTCGAGGTCCCCTCGGCAACAACCACCTGGGAGGACCTCCTTGCGGGCACAGACGAGACCTCTCTCGTCGACAATCAGAGCCTTACCCTGGGGGAATGAGCAAAATTACAAGTTAATTGTGCTATTATCTCGATAATTATTGAATCTAGGAGAAAATGTGAGAAAATGTTTTTTACATATCAGAAAATTCTCTACAAAAAATGTCAGTCTATTAACGTTTTTAAGTCGCTCTGTCATGTGCAGTTTTGCAATCCAATTTTTTTTCTAATTCACCTGTATAGAATTTCGACAAGTTCGTGCAACCTCACTGGCACTCGATCCATTATTATTCTGATCGAGACCAGCATCATCAGATGCAGAAATCGCTGGCCAGGGCACATGTTTCCCCCCTAAATCATCCTCGGAATCCTGATCCGCGCCCACATCGTCGTTATCAATAAGCATATTGTCGTCTCCATCGTCTCCATAATTCCCCACTGGTGAGCCAATCTTCTAAAGAAACAGCATTCCTTAAATTAATTATCTCCAACAACAAATTAAAAGGGATGAAGAAAAAAAAATTTTTTTTCATCTATTAAAAAAATAATAATTCGCCCCTTGAAAGTTGTTACTAAAACTTGAATAATAAATAAATAAATAAGTAAATGTGATAACGTGATAAAATATTATTTACTTCATGTGCCAGTAGAGAAATAGCGCAGTATGTCAGAGACAGGGCGAAAATAAGGGCAAGTACGATTCTCCTCCGTAGAAGTCTCACAAGCCCTCCCCAAGTGACGGCCACCCTCATTTTCCTCGTTGTTTCCGCCAAAAAAATTCAACAAATGTCCAAAACCAGATTTATCTACTCATTTTCGGGGGATCATCACGAGGTCCTGGTGACCTCATGTCGTTGGATCGATCCTCGAGCCACCAGGGACCCCAAAATCCACCGATTGCACGAGCCCTCGGTGCAGTTGAACAATTTTCCACTTGAAAAAATAGGAAAACCCAAATTTCTGGAGTAGATAAATCACCGAAATTTGTTGTTTTTTGCGGACCGCAGGGGTGGCGATATGTCACTGGTTTACAGGTTATTCCGGAGTGAATGTCATTGGTGGAATGGGAGGCATGGGTGGACCAGTGGGATTGGAGGGAACGGTTCGCCCGGGAAAATTCAAAATTATTTTTAATGTTCAGTCATTTTTTCGCATTCAAACGAATCTCCTAGAAAAAAGAGTTATCAAAAAACATAAATAAAAAATATTTCTACAAAATTAATTCTTATTTGAAATGACTTTTCGAAAATATCTT